CGCGCCTGATTTAAATGTCACACCTGAACGCTCACATCCTTTTAATTATGTTTGAAATTATGAACACTGCTCAACATCATGAAAATTAAACCTTATTTTCAATAAGCAATCCTGAAAAATATTTGGGGGTGCTTAACTTTTTTCCAGGTGTATAGATGAAGGAATAGTCAATAAATTACTTAAATTTGCAGATGATATTATGATATTAAGGTCCTGTGTGTTGCTAGCTGTGAAGAGGATGCTGTTGCTTTACAAAACGATTTAGATCATTTAGTGAGTTGGATAAATGAATGGCAGATGAGTTTTAATTATAATAAATGCAAGATAATGCATGTGGGTTATCATAACTTAACTTAGATGGGAATAACCTTAACAGTGTTATGAAAGAAAGGGATCTTGGTGTAATAGTTGATCAGTCTCTAAAGCTATCCAAGCAGTTTTCTGTTGCTAGTGGTAGGGCAAATATGATTTTAGGTTGTATCTATAGAAATATTGAATGCAAGTCTAAAGAGGTTATACTTTCATTGTACAGGTCACTGGTTAGGTCACATTTGGAGTATTGTGTTCAGTCTTGGGCTCCTTAACTTAGAAAGACAGTGAATTGTTGGAAAGGGTTCAAAGGAGGGTTAGTAAAATGGTGCCTGGGATGGAGGGGTTGTCTTACGAAAAGAGGTTGAAATCTGTCAAACTGTTTTCTCTTGAAAATAGAAGAGTAAGGGGGAATCTGATTGAGGTGTTTAAGATTGTAAAGGGAATTTACAAGTGTTGATGTATCATCTTTTTCTATATTTAACAGTGAGAATAGTAAGACTAGGTTGGTTGGTCTACGGAATACGTTGCCTTCAGATGTTGTTGAGGCAGTAAATTTAAGTGAGTTTAAGAAAAGGCTTCATAAGTATATGAATGAAAAAGGCTGGCTTTAAGATTTTATTACTTATTTAATTATTTTTATTTTATTTTATTAATTTAATTTAGAAGATGGAACAGCAGAGATTGACCAATATGTCCTAAATTGTCCCAAAACGTTATGTTATGTCATATTATATTGATTTTATGTTTGTTTGTTGAAGTTTGCACAAAGCTACTCATGGGCTATCTACATTAGCCATTCCAATGTTTGAATTGATAGACCTATGGGAAAGCAGTAAGTCAACACCACCCACTGCTAACTCTTTAGTTGCCCTTTACCAATAAATAGTGGAGCCTTTTAGTAGCACAGCGGTATGTCTGCAGACTTACAATACTAGAAACCAGATTTCAATACCTGTGGTGGGCAGAGAACAGATGGCCCATTGAGTAGCTTTGTGTTTAACTTCAAAAACATACAAACAAATACTGGAAATTATTGTCACACTATAAAACCCCCACAGATGAAAGATCAAGCATGTTTGGTGATGAGGTTCAATCACATGACATGTAGATTGCAAGTTCAGTGCCGTTATCACTAGGCCATAATGTTTTACAGCCTTTCAATCACATTTTTCCTGCACTTAATTCACACATTCATTACCTTATTTGTTGTCTTATCTCTTCTCTCCCATCTGGAGATGTATGTGGATACAGTCTTTCACCTGCCTCAGAAATATTCTCAATCTGGCTAGAGTGCTGAGACAGTTGTTCAATCAAGGCCTGGTAACATAAATAAAACTGATGTGTACTGTTGAATATTAAACAACAGAAGTAAACATAACTTAACTATTATTCAACAACAGAAGTAAACATAACTATTATTCTATATTGAATACTAACCACTAACCTAATTAAAAAGCTAAAGAAAGTGAAGATTTGGTTTCATGATTTTGTACAACAATATTGTAAAATAATGTTATGAGTAAGCTATGTCAAATAAGTTGATCATTTACGTCAAGTTCGTCCGTCTAGTGGTAGATTAGGCAGTATCTTGAGTGTGACTATATCATGGTTATATTAAAGTTAATTGGTATTAAACACCAGAGTAAAACAGTAACAGGTAACAAACATTAATCAACTAACCATAAAAAAAAAATTGAAAAAAAGCTCTATTTTTAGCTTCTTTTTTTTTTTCACTTATTTACTGTAAACTCTTCTTTGGATCATTTGGAAAACCAAGGTTTTCATAACGTAATTTATGAAATCTAAGATTAAACAATATAACCAAAACATAAAAACTTGGGTTTTTTACTTCAAGTTCTGTTTTTCTTGTTTGAAGCATTGTTATATCACCAGTTAATAGGGTAAGCTTAGTCATTTCAGTTTCTGGTTCATCAAGTGATGCTTGGAGGTCTTCCAACTTTTTATCAAAACCCTGGTGTTCTTGAACAAACTGTTCCCACTTGCCAGTTGCCTCCTAGACAGAATCATTTATTATTCAGAGAATTTTACAAAGCTTCACTCTAGACAGCAAATCAGTAACCTTGATTATCCTAGTGTTGTGTTTAAAGAAAATCATTCAATAACAAAGTTAATCATTTTGTGTATCTGAGTTTTTTAATAACCATGGTATTGATAGTTTATCATTTTGTGTATCTGAGTTTTTATAAATGGTATTGATAGTTTAGTTTTATAAAAACTCAGATATACAAAATGATAAACTATCAATACCATGGTTTTATAAAAACTCAGATACACAAAATGATAAACTATCAATACCATGGATATTTTCATTTAATGCTTACAGAAAATCATTAACTACTATGGTTATTATAGACTCAGATCAAATGATATACTATCACTACCATGGCTATTTTAGTGTAGTGGTTACAGAAAATCATTAACTACCATGGCAATTAAAATGATACAAATAGACAGAATCATGAACTATCATGACCATCACTTCTACATAACAATAATAATAGTCAAACAGAATCATTCATCACCAAGATTATCCCAGTGTTACACTTAAACAGAATCATTCATTACCAAGATTATCCTAGTATTACATTTAAACAGAATCATTCATTACCAAGATCATCCTGGTGTTACAGTTAAACAGAATCATTCATTACCAAGATTATCCTAGTGTTACACTTAAACAGAATCATTCATTACCAAGATTATCCTAATGTTACAGTTAAACAGAATCACTCATTACCAAGATTATCCTAGTGTTACAGTTAAACAGAATCATTCATTACCAAGATCATCCTAGTGTTACAGTTAAACAGAATCATTCATTACCAAGATCATCCTAGTGTTACAGTTAAACAGAATCACTCATTACCAAGATTATCCTAATGTTACAGTTAAACAGAATCATTCATTACCAAGATTATTCTAATGTTACAGTTAAACAGAATCACTCATTACCAAGATTATTCTAATGTTACAGTTAAACAGAATCATTCATTACGAAGATTATCCTAATGTTACAGTTAAACAGAATCACTCATTACCAAGATTATTCTAATGTTACAGTTAAACAGAATCACTCATTACCAAGATTATCCTAATGTTACAGTTAAACAGAATCACTCATTACCAAGATTATTCTAATGTTACAGTTAAACAGAATCACTCATTACCAAGATTATCCTAATGTTACAGTTAAACAGAATCACTCATTACCAAGATTATTCTAATGTTACAGTTAAATAGAATTATCCAGTACCATGATTATTCTAATGTTACAGTTAAACAGAATCACTCATTACCAAGATTATCCTAATGTTACAGTTAAACAGAATCATTCATTACCAAGATTATCCTAATGTTACAGTTAAACAGAATCATTCATTACCAAGATTATCCTAATGTTACAGTTAAACAGAATCATTCATTACCAAAATTATTCTAATGTTACAGTTAAATAGAATTATCCAGTACCATGATTATTCTATAATGTTACATTTAGAAAAAAAATTATTTGAGAGTCCAATAATGTAAGTTAAACTTTTACAGTTCAACAGTCACATCCTTAATCAGAAAGCTAGTTTTCTCACCAAATTGAATCAACTATTAGGTTTCTCTATACATAGTTCATCTGAGCTCACCTTAACTAGGTTCTTCAGCATCTGATAACGGCTATTTACTTTAGCTAATCGAGGACCTAAAGTTGTTTCTCCTGAAATCTGTTGAACTTGTGATGTAGCTAAAGTGAACTCCTCTTCTTTTGATATGATTTCTGCTTCCAAGTCCTGTCAAATTTTATATATACTGTATTAACTTTCATGATTTTAAACCAAAAGCAATTTGTCAGTAACTAGTTTAAAGAGATAATCAGTAATCTTTGATAGGTTGTTTAAGCAAAGTATTCATAATGAATCTAAGTTCAAATGGACAGCAACTGCCTGTTGTAGATGAAGAAAAAAGGGTGGAAGACTTTTGAAACATCGTCCTATACATTTGTAGTTTTCTACAACAGGCAGTTGATGTCCATCTGAAACTTAGATTCACTGATAATCAGTACTTATCTTAAACGGTTTTCCTTACAGACTATAATAACTAATAAAATAATCCAACTTTGAAAAATAAAAACTAAAACAATATTTATTGCTATCAACTTTTTCTTTTTAATTTTGTTGAATTTAACAAAATTTAAATTTAACGTGCTAAAAACTGGCAGAAACTTTAAGGTTACCAAAATTATACATTTCTGTTATGGGTGACTTTTTATCCCTAGTATCCACTTTATGGTGCCTTCTTTTCCATATTTCAGTTTAAACCATATCCAGCTAGTTAAAGGTTCTGCACACCAACAAATTCTCTTTACCTCTTGCTTATCATAGAAAATTCTGTGATCCTTCTTTACCTCTATTAAGGTGCTGTACATTAGTTTCTAACCAATCTCTTAGTGGATACATCTGTAAACCTATCTTGACTGTGTTTAGTTAATACAGCTTGGTTTCTATGTTGTCTATTAGTGGATACATCTGTAAACCTATCTTGACTGTGTTTAGTTAATACAGCTTGGTTTCTATGTTGTCTATTAGTGGATACATCTGCAAACCTATCTTGACTGTGTTTAGTTAATACAACTTGATTTCTATGTTTTCTATTAGTGGATACATCTATAAACCTATCTTGACTGTGTTTAAAACTGATACAGCTTGGTTTCTATGTTGTCTCTTAATGGTCCCATAAAACCTACCTTGATTCTGTTAAGCTGCTGCATCTTTGTTTCAGTGCTATTTCTTAGCGGTTGGTCACGGAGCTGACTCTCCTTGGCGGCCTGCCATTCTTCCAGCTGTAACAATGTGTCATTGCTCTGGTTCCATTTATCTACTCTACTAGAAACATTCTCTCGGACAGCTTCACAACGGCTAAGGAAATTTTGCCATTGATCATGGAGGCTATTTAATTCTTTATTGATATTTTCATGGCCAGATGAATGGGTCTGACAAAGAATCTTTTCTTTGGTCTCCCCGAGTTCATTTAGCTTTTGACTTCCAATATTCTGTTCAGCTAAAACACCCTTTACAGAAAAAAATATTAAGTACATGTAGAGAACATTTTGGTTTTCTCAAATCAACTTATAAGACCATGTCAAATAATATTTTTTTACAGAAACAAATTACCTACACAAGAACATAATCTTGAATTTCAATCTGCCTCCTTTGACCCAGCACTTCTAACACTCAAATTTGTATTATTTTACCTTAGAGATCTTTTATCAAAAACCATCTTACTGATTCATCTGCCCTACTTTCTCAAATATAATTGATTGTTTAATGTCTTCTTTTAGCTAAACTAATCACACAGGCCTGCACATTTAAACTTCATAAAAGTTGTTTTGGTTTTAATAACAGGATTTCCATAATTCAGCTATGTATATTTCAAATATAATATTAATTTTTTTTTCTATCACATTAGGATTTTTTACAAATCATGAAGAAATAAAACCCTTATTTACATCAAATTATTATTTCATTTACCACAATGAATATTTTTTATTTTTATGTTTTTAACTTTTAATAGAAACAAACTGAAGAAAATGGATGAACATTGATGTCAAACAAATATGCATCCTCATTCACACTGAGTTTTTAGTGAAATCTATGTCTTTTAGTCTCAAAATTATGTGTGGTGATCTTTCTTTTATGTATTGCATTATGATGTTTTGTGAAAAATCTGTACCTGATGAAGAAAAATGAATATCATTTTTGGATTCAGCATATAAGAATTACTGTAGAACATGTAAAAATTTCAAGACAATAAAACTATAGCAGGCCTGTGTTATTTATGTCTTATTTTACCCTAACTGATGAATGTTAATATTTTCCCTATCTTTCAGATAAATACTCAACAAAAAGCTATTACTTTATGTACACTACAAATAAAACTCCTGCACATGTCATAAGCCTTGAAGAAAGCTCTCACTCCAACATGTATCAATCTATATGGTGCCAGCCTATGATGTAATCATCATTAGCAAATAGCTGTCCACCAGTAGGAAAGTGACACATCCTCATATGTACTAACTTCACAAGACAAACTAATAAAATGCACTAAAAGTAAAGAGGAAGGGTTGGAGGTGGTGCAGAGAGTTGAGTATCTGTTTGAAATACATTTTCAGGTAATGAAAGCATTACCTTCAGAAATGCTACTAACCTCTTTGTAACACAAAGAACTAGAATCTCACACTGAAGACAGAAGAGGGTTTGGTGCTGAGATATTAGAGAGATGGATACAGTTTCCCACTGAGTGATACCCCACTAGGCTACCCCTGCCTGGGCAAAGATACTGTCATATTGTGGATAGCAGATTGTTACACAATCCACTATCTTACAGATGGACAGTTGAGCAAGAGTATGGCTATAAATCAGGAGATTCCATATTGGAGAAATACCTGAGATAGGATCATACTCATCACAAGATTCAGGTGCAGGGAGTAAAATCCCATAATTGTGTTCCAAGACCCTTCCATCTGAAACTAAGCACACAAGAATGGCTTTGTTATAAGGTAGTGGGGTGTCATGAACTACACCACCAGCTAACACCCCAGCATAAATGAAGGGTGCATCCACTCAGTCTTTTATCAGTGGACATGCACCAACCAACAAAGAACTTTCCTTATAAACAGAGAAAAGAAGTAAAAGACAGAAAGAAAGGCATATGTGTAGATATGTGTAGTTTGTCACAGTGAAGACAACAGTATTAGAAAACAGGTATTTGCGTTTTGTCACAGTGAAGAAGGTAGTATTAGAAAACAGGTATGTGTAGTTTGTCACAGTGAAGACGATAGTATTAGAAAACAGGTATGTGCAGTTTGTCACGTTGAAGACGATAGTATTAGAAAACAGGTATGTGTAGTTTGTCACAGTGAAGACTATAGTATTAGAAAACAGGTATGTACAGTTTGTCACAGTGAAGAGAATAGTATTATAAAACAGGTATGTCCAGTTTGTCACAGTGAAGAAACAGTATTAGAAAACAGGTGTGTCCAGTTTGTCACAGTGAAGACAATAGTATTAGAAAACAGGTATGTCCAGTTTGTCACAGTGAAGACGATAGTATTAGAAAACAGGTATGTCCAGTTTGTCACAGTGAAGACGATAGTATTAGAAAACAGGTATGTGCTAGTTTGCAC